GGTTCTTGTGGTGATTTTCTGAAACCCACGAATTTCCAGATGAACCTCGTCGGGATGTGTAGGTTCTTACCGCTGTTACTAATAACCTTCCAAGTTGAGTTTTGGTACACTCTGTATGGTTCTGGTATTAGTCGTCCCCTTTTGTAAGAACATCTATCATCAATATGAACATCACAACAACACTAGCCCCAGCAGTGACTTCTACACTTGAAGATTCTCAGCCTCCTGAAACACATAAGATACTTTATATCATCATCGCAGCTGTGGGCTCGATAGTGGTTATGGGCTCGGTCTTTTTGGTGGGTTTCATGATGTGATTCGCATACTATAGATCTCCGAGTGTTGTTGTTGTTATCAGCTTCGACTCTATTGGTCTCGCTCGTCTGCACGTGGGGCGTCCTGGAATGAGGAGTACCAGGACCCCGCGACGAAGCGACGAAGACGCCTCAAGTCGTTGGTGGAAGAGAAGACTCTTCGTGCTGAGTACAAAGACTATAAGTTATTACAGCGCAGACGGATGAGCACTATGGTAGTCAACGAAGAGTTCGTATCATCGCTTCGCGTCAATGGTAGAGAGTGATTGATTGAGTGATGATTTGGTTTACTCTTTGTAGGTCTCTTCGTTTGACGAAGGCTCCTTCGATGAAACATCAGCCGAAGCCGAGCCGGTATCCACGGCGAAAGGTTCCCATAACCACATTAGTAGTGTCCTTTCAATGCTGCGCTTGAATCGTGAGAGCACTTCTAGTGATGATGACGACGATGCTCAACAGCTGTATCCAGCATGGAAGATGTCGGTTTTTAACGGACTTCAGTTGGGCCCTACTTATTATACCTGTTTAGGCACGGTGAAACGGCTACTGACTGTGCAGTCTGTCTCGGCGAATATAAGCCTGATGACCCGGTCTGCGAGCTTGAATGCGGTCATGTATTCCATGAGGACTGCCTATTCAAGTAAGATTCTCTATTTTGTGGCGCGCGGTCATGACTTGTGGTCATTTCAGGTGGTTCCTGAGGTCTGATAACGTTCAGTGTCCGTTATGTCGTTATGACGTAAGTAGTCTCATTCTTCGTTCATCATTCAGTTGCAGCTGTTGTGGTATGAGATATTTCCTTTTCAGTTGGAGGATGAGTCAAGTCCTGTTCCTTCCCCTGCGCTTCCTGTAAAT